TAAGCCCGATACTATGATTAGAAAAGGGTTTGGGATACACACATTATATATATATAATGCTATAATTATATAATGAGGAACCCCCCCCCCCCCCCACAAATATATATGTATGTATACATAAAAGATATATATGTTCGAATTGTTAAGGCTCCTCTATGGTCCTACGTTAGCCGCCAAAGCCTAGGAGCCAAGATGCCCGGCAGCTGCGACAGAGCTCACCCCGGCCCCAGGTCCGGGAGCGGCGGCTTGCTTGCAACTCCATAGGGGGCCTTCATAAGTTAATTAGGTCAGGGTGGAATAGGTAAGGCATATATATATATGTATCTACATATATATTTGTTAGAGGGGCCGTCATAGTTTAATCGTTGTAGCTAGAATAGGTATGATATGTCCGTTATGAGAGTAGGTGTTTTATACGGTCTAAACGACACCATATAGAGTTAGAGCATAATGAAGATAAGACTATAAGGGATCTTACCATTACCTTTTGCGTAGACCTGGGCATTAAACGCTTCTCGACCTCAGAGAGGCATTGAAGGGCTCCAGCGAACCTCAGGCTAGGACTTAATTTGTGGTGAATTCCGAGTCATGTCAATCCCTGAAAAAGCCGCCGAATCAGCAACTTTTTCTGCCGATGTGCTCGCTGAGGCAGCAGTCGCCTCGGGTTCAAAGACCTGAGACCTCCCCGCGGCCTCGACAAGCCTCGCCGCGCCCCGTCGCTACGCCCCAGCGCTCCGACAGGCAGAGCTTCTGCCGGGCACCTGTCACAGCGCGCGAGCGGCCCAAAGAAAGGCAGCCTTCTCCCCGTCCAGTCGGGGCCGTGACGGCCCGGGAGGACCGGCAGAGCCTCGTTCGAGAACGCCCCACTTGCCGAGATCGGAGTGCATCCCGCCAGATCCCCAGCCCAAGCCCCAAGAGCGAACAGCTCACCAGATCGCAATCTGCGCGCCGGTCCCTGGACTCTCGCAGCCCAAAGACCGATCCCCTGAACCGCAGCATGTCCCGCGGCGCCTCCCAGCGCAGCGGGACGCACCTGGGCTTGAGGGGACTGGTGAGCTCCTCGCTTCAATCTTGGCATATTACAGGGGCCCAACTTTTTAGAGTAGGGAGTTTCAGTGTATATTTTACTGAGACTATCATCGGGAAGTGTTCGCTTCTCTGGAATGTTCGCTGCGAGGTTCGAAAAGTGCTTCCACGTTGGCCCGTGCGCCGGCAGCGACAGGCCTTCCAAAGTCCTCTTTTGGTGCTTTTGGCTTTAAAGAAGGATCCCTTATTGAGGGATTTTATAGTGAAACACGGGTCCTACTGTTCATGAAGTGCTTGGTGATAGCCTCGGGGGCTCCTTAGGAATACGGCAAAGTATAGTTTGGCTGCTTTTTGGTGATACCAGTAAGATGAACTCGACACCCTGTGTGGATTATAGGCAGAGCTACCGGTGCAGAAACCACCTTTCGCCCTCGTCAGAAGGTACCCCTGGGTCCCATGACGCTGTAAATATTCGGAAGCAGGTGTTAAGTACAGCTCTCACACTCCCAAATGGCAGGTACAATTGGTATTCTTGGAAAATAAAATTGCTCGGATAGGTCCACCGAATCCCACGGCCGAGCTACCGTCGGTGGAGGAGTGAGTCCTGTGCAAAGGGTTGCTTTAGAGGTTTAGGACCTCTCAAGGAGTGGAGTGCTGAGACAGAAATCCTTTCAGCATGTTTATAGCTCGCTGTATGGTTCGATGAGTTTCCATTAGAAGGCCTTGAGGTTTGAGTTGTGGGGTTTGCGGAAGGGTTCTGGGTTTAAGGATGATTCGGGGCTTTAAGGGTTAGGGTATCAGAAAGCCAGGGACCCACGAATGCACCTACATAGTAGCATCCTCCTGCTTCGGGTCCTTAAATCAACACATAGCCGAATACCATTGATTTTAGAAACCGGCAGGACCCTCTTCGCCCCCGGTTCTTACGAGGAGTTGGCTTTTCAGCAACACAACCCGACCCCAAACCCTAAAACTCCAAACACCGAAAGCCCAAAACCTACACCCCACATAAACCCTAAGCACCAAAAACCCTGCTACCCTGAAGCACAAGACCCTACACTCTGAAACCCTGAACCCTAGATCTACATTCGAGACGAACTTCAAGCCCCAGATCCGCATTCTAGATCGGGGCCTCATAGGGTTGTATAAGGGTGTTGCCAGGTTTACACAAGGTCTTATAGAGCTCTCAAAAGGGCTTTACACGGCAGTGTACAGGGCGTCAAAGGTTTTGTCAGGGCTTAGTGGGATCTGATAGGGTTGTGGAAGGGTTTGTAAGGTTGTTTTCATCAAGGTCTTCCGTGTTATGCTGTGTTCTAAGGACTTTACCATGATATCATAGTGTTTCATAACAGTTGTATAGGGGTTCTGCAGTGTTCTGCAATGGTTCCCCAGTGGAATTACAGGGTGTTGTTTCAATCCAAGGTATGGACCTCCCTTAACCCTAAACCCTGTTGCAGAGTGTGTGCCAGCCCAGCAGCACTTCGCAAAGCGAGTGTGGAAGATTCTTCATGCTGGATGACGAAAGGTCGCCCAAGGCCAAGGCCAAGAGTGCTAAAGAAGCCGGTCGGCGGAAGAAGCAGAAGGAGCGAGTCAAGAAAGACGCTGCTCTGAAGGGAAGTTCGGCCTCGCCTTTCGCAGACAGAGTACGGGCATAAGTTATTGTGTACTGAACAAGACGACAATGTGGTTCAGCAGTCGGCTCGGCTGAAGCAAGTGTTGCCTGAGTTGCAGGCAGCGCAACTTAAGATGGCAGTCCTGGAAAGGGAGTTGGAGAGGCTGAGGCGCTGAGTTACCTTCAGCCTGTAATACGGGGCCGGGGGAATGGCATAGGGTCTCATAACGGTTTAGGGTTTAGGGTTTAGGTACAGGGTTCTGCAAGGGGTTTCCAGCGGAATTACAGGGCCGTTGAGGGGTCGCTAAAAATGTGGATCCACGTGTACTGAATTCACGTCCGTTACTTCCCGCAACTCCCATATCACAACGAGCATTACTGTGACAGAAATTAAAGTACAGTATGAGAAGCAGGCATGAAAGAACAATGGAAGGAAAGCATACCCTAAGGCTCAAAACAGCCCCAAAGCCTTATATAGTATGGTCTTTGGGCCCAAAAGCCTTAAGATATAAGTCCTTAGAGCCTCAGGGATAGTAATACTGACCCAACTAGTGGCACCCCTATACCCCGAAGTTTCCTTCTCTCAAACATTCTTTCGAGGAATCTGAGCTGCCCTATTAGAGCATCTACAAATTCCCGCCCCCGCCAAGCCTAGGTCCCTGAGTGGTACCCTTTTGCCCTTTTTATTTTAGGGCTCCCTTACTAAAACAGAAGAGTAGGAAAAAGGGTACCCTTATTATAAAGAGGCTACTCAGGAACCAAGAAGCATTGCGAGGAGCTGAAGAGGATGATCGAAGAGACCAAGAAGGAGGTCTCTTGGGGCGGCCTCTTGTGGAGAAGGATTACCCTAAGGGTCCATGTACCCAAGTAGATATACTTTGGCCTTAAAGTAGTCCCTATTGGGGCCAAAGTATACCCATTTGGGTACATGGACCCTTAGGGTTATAAGGGCATTTAGGGAAATGATGTGCCAACTTTTTGGCTGCTACTTCGGGGTTTAGGGTTGCCGGGCTTTGCTGTTGGGTTTTAGAGCTCCGTGGCTCTTCAAACATGGTCTTATAACAGGCAGAGGATGTTGGTTTGGCAGGCTTTTCGAGGTTTGTGGATGGGATGAAGCGGTTTGTGGTGGTTGTTACTAGATTTCTCGGATCCACAGCGTCGACTTTAGAACCCAGTCCAAAATGAAGCGATGAGGATGGATAATATAGAAGCCTAAATCATTACCAAGATTACTGTTAGGGTTCCTTATTAGAATAATCCTATAAAAGGAGCCCGAAACCCTATTCTAATTATTCGGGCCCCTACATTAGGGGGTGCGCTTTTCGGCAGCGATGAATTCTTGGTTCCTTGGATCTCGTCCCGGTAAAGGGTTTTGTTTTTGTTTTTTTTATCAGCTTCTAGCCTTTGAGGGTTTAGGGTTTAGGGTATTGAAGACCTCAGGAAGTGTAGTCGTCATGTCGTTTAGAATCACATCCATAGCCCTACATCCTCAGTCCTGAAACCTACCTCTGAACCTAAACCCCAGCGTGCCCGAGAGACCTACGGCCTCTTTCCTTGCTGCAACCATAGAACCCTAAAGCCCTAGCCTAAAAGCATGCCCTGAAACAAAAATCAGACCTCCAACCCTACAGCCCTATAGCCTTATGCCTTGCGTAGCCACGAGAACCCAGAACCTGGAGCAGAAAAACTAGAGTCCTTGCAGAAGCTTTACAGAAAGCTGCATGGAACCCCTTGAGCAACGCCGTTTATAGAGCCCTGTTATGGAACACTTCGTGAATCCTCTATTCCAACTCAGCTATGAAACCCTTCGAACCGTGCCGGAAGGTGCGCGAGATTCGTTCCGCCCGGCACCCAGCTGGGGATAAAGGTGCTCTCAAATTCGGCTCGGCTTTTCCGACGGACATGTACACATTTTACGTGCTAAAGGTTGGAGACTGTCGCTGAAGGGTCTTCCGTGGCGTAGGGAAATTATGAGGTTTATAGCGATAAGACCGATAAGATTTCAATCGATGCGGTGGCGTAGCGAAGCCTCGGGCCTTTGATTGAGCGAATCTCTTGAACGCCAGATTCGCGTGAATATGCCACACAATCCTAACAGAGTTTATTCTCTCACCCCGCTGCAAAACGACCGTCGAAGCCAGAAAGCCCGAAACTCGCGACAAGGTGGAGTCCAAAGCCAAGTGGCAGATGACACGTGAGGAGCCGGCGTTTTCGATAACGGGGCCAGAGGCCTTACTATAAATATGTATGGGCTCTAATGACCCTAAACCCTAAATCCTGTCCCTGTGTGGGTGTTTCAGCAGGTCCCGGCTTGGCAAGTCCTAACGGATAGCTTGTTTGTGGGAGTTGCATGGCCGGAGAGCTTGCGACGCGCTTCTGCACGACTTACTTACTATCTATAGCTGAGCCAGCACATCCTTGGTGCCGGTTTAGGGTTCTGGGTTGAGCTTGAAGAGCCGATAGTCACAGCGCGGTCAAGATCCAAGCTTCCACAGCGTGGATTCGGAATGTCCCATCAACACTAATCAATCGAGATATCGTAAACCCCGTAAGACTAAAAACCAAAGCGTGAATTATACAACCCTGCGACCGGCGTGGGTAAGTATGGTTCATGAGGGTTCAGAGAATTGAATCTAGAGTAAAGGCAATTGCTGTTCTGGGCTTTAGTGGAGCTTCTGTCTAACATGTTCGATGCAGTCAACGGCGTACAGCGAACCGTACACTCTCTCCTAAAACCGACAGCCCAATACCTGCAACTTAGACCACGGACGAAGTCAGGAGCGCCGTGAGAAGTTGGCGGAGACCGTCGCCGCCCAAAGTGAGCTGCGTGAGTGGCGATGGAAGCAGGCAAGCTTCAGCAAGATGGGAGATCCTGTATTGTCTGCCATATTTAATCCGTAAGAAGTTGAAGCACAGCAGTATAGCACAGTGCAGTATTTAATTCATTCCAGTCAGAATATGACAGCTCCATCTTCCAACTGCTACTGCCCTGTTCGAAATCTTCTCCTTCGTCAATCCAGCAGTGTTGATGTGCAACGTTTTGACATTTTTAACACATGTACATGTGTCTGTACGTGTGTGCGTGTGTGTGTATATATATATATTTATTTATTTATTTATTTTATTTTATTTATTTATTTATTTACCCCTTGGCACTTTCACCCAGGTCTCGAGCATTCTGTTGCTCTGGATTTCTCTTGTGACTTGTAATTCCGATCATCTGCAGATACTATAGATGCTTAAAGGAAAAGTACAATCCCGCAGGGTCCCTATAATATGAACAAGGATTAGTTCGCTTGAAATACGCACACCGGGACTAGGCTGCAGAATGAATATCGTGGCTTCAGTATTAGACATTGGACCAGGGCCTGAGGGTATACCTAGTATAGCTATCTATGGACTACAGGCGGATACTACTTAAGTTGTTTTCACACCCCTATATTGTGGAAGCGCTGGTAATCCTGGCAATCAAGGTGAGACACTCTGAGACATCGCTGCTGCAGAAGCTGATTACGAAGCACCTGATTCGAAACCACCCAGAAAGAGGATCCACGTCATGATACATCGTAACAGCCGGGGTTTCCTGATCAGGTTCATGCATTCATAGTACACAGTTTTCTGGAACACACCGACAGTCCGATAGCCCAAAAGCCTCCATCCTACACCCGAAAATGCAAAAGCCCTAGACCCCCGCGCCCAACGCCGGGAAATCTCCCCGAAACCCTGAACCTTCAACCAAAATCCTATACTCTAACTCCTAAACGCTAAGCTTGATCCAAAGCCCTATACCCTAAACCCCAAACAATAAGCCTATACCCTGGACCCTAAACCCGAAACACCCTGTATGCTAAGTGCTGAACCCTAAACAAAGACCCGACACCCTGGGCTCTGAGCCCCAAATGACCCTAACCGAAACCCTATACCCTATAAACTTGGAACCAAAGCCCTATGTGCCCTAAACCGTTATACTTACCAAGAGCCCTGCAGCCTAACCTTTGAAGCCTAAGCCTCTAAACCCTAAACCCTGAATCCCGCAACCCTAAACCCTCAACCCTAAACCTCTAAACCCTGAACCCTGAACCCTAAGCCAAAACGCTCACTGCTACCTTGAGTCGGAGGCCCAGGGCTTAAAGCAGCTGGCGGCGCAGCAGCTTGACCTCTGTGGGAGAGTTTCGGGTTCCTGCAAGGTTCCTTTAAGGGGAACAATAAGGGTTCTATAGGGGATCTCTAAGGCTAAAATGGCTAAAAACTTATCCCTTCAAGGGGATCAACAAGGGATCTACAAGGTTAGGGTTTATCGGTTTAGGTTTGGTTTGGGTTTATAAGGGTGTGGATATCCGGGTTTAGTGTTTAGGGTTGAGGGTTCAGGAGGTCCGGATTCATCGGTTTGAGGTTTGGGGTATCCGCGCAACAGGGTTCAGGGTTTAGCATTGAGGGGTTTACGGGCTTCGGGTTTAGGCCACTATAGGGCCGGGGTTTGGGGGGTGGGGCTTAAGTTAAGGAGTTCATGGGTTTAGGTTCAGGGTCCAAAGCTTTATGGGTTCATGGGTGAAGAGGCCGTTCTTTCAGGGTCTACCTTAACGGTTTAGCTTCATGACATACTTCGAGAACTTTGTAGGTTTCGTTGTCGAGCAGTCTCCTAGTGTGCAGGGCTTGTAGCTTTCTGGTTCTTCACATTTTGGGGGAGTTATGTTGAGTCGTTAAGATCTAGACACCCGGAGGAGAAGCGAGAGTGTCAAGCACAATGCCTCTTCGGAGGGGCAAAGGATGTGTAGATGCTTCGCAATGACGGGCAGCACCTACTATGTAAGGGCACGCAGTGGCCCCGCCTCTACAACCATACCATCCCCTCAGAAGCCCTTCTCTTAAACCTTTTTTTGGCACCTTCTTAGAATGTATGAACTGTTTCAACCCTCGGCCCTGGCCTGCAAAGCCCCGACAAACGAACACCTCATCTAATGCGCCCCGTGAGATCTGTGCTTAAACCCTTGGCTGCGACTCCTGCTTTTTCAGGCAAGCACAGGCAGCCAAGGTCTCGGATCTGAAGGCGTTCGGGAGTTCTTCCTGTCTTTTCTCTTTCTTCTTGGGGCGGGGGGCGGGGGATCCCTAAAACCCTCTGAACCCGAATTAAGTCCTAAACCCAAAACCCTCAAGGTTTCAACTGGGGCTGGAGGGTTTCCGTGGTCTTGGGGCTTGAGGCTTTTTGGCTTTGGGGCTTCGGGTTCTATACGACTTAGGGCTTAGGGTTTGGACTTGTTGAGGCCCCACCCACTTGCTACGAAGCTATGCCTTTGCAGAGCCTTTGCAGGTGTCCTTTAACGCTTCGGGTGGGTTCGGCATATGAAATTTTTTTCTCTGCAGGATCAATCCGACAGTGGACGTCAAATGCATCTCGTTTTTTTTGTGAGAGATGGCGATGGAATGTAATAGCCCTGCACATGGGCAACGTCAACCCGCCTGAGCTACCCAATGACGGTTCGGCATAATCATGTGCTGCATATGTGCCGGCAGGTTGGTATAGTGGGTGTAGCTTGCAACTCAGACTGTGTATGTTTTGCCAATCAACGTCATGTAATGCGTGATATGTCTGAAAGGTAGGGTGATGATATAAGGTGAAAGGAAAGAGAGGCAGATGGAAAGTCAAGTCCTCGCGTAGAATTTGAGTCAAAACTCAACCCAAACCCCGCAAACAACATGCCCACCACTTTAAAGACTCTAAACCCTGGACCCTAAGAGTCATAAGCCCTAAGTTTAAAAAAGAGAAGTCACAGGAATCGAAGGAATTCGTAGAGTTCAAGCGCGAGACGAAGCTGAGGACCCCGACGCGTTAGGAGGGTTTATGGTTCAGAGAATTCGGTGTTTCGATGATTTCTGGTGCTTCATGGGCGTCCTGGATCGAAAAAGGCTGCAGAAAGCAGGGCCTTGCCATGTCTGGTCCTCCTGTACCGACGCTGTACACCTAAACCTACAAACCCCTAAACCCTGAAACCCTAAACCTTGTTCACAAAAGCCTGTCCTAAACCCTAAACCCTAAACGCCCTAAACCCTGAAACCCTAAGTCTTGTTCACAAATGCCTGCGGTGCCGATGTCGCTGGAAGAGGAGCAAAGAGGTGGAGCTGCAGCACCAGCAGGATGCATCGGACCCAGACTGATTGCTTCGAGGGTTTAGGGCTTTGGGGTTTAGGGTTTAGGGGTTCGGGGTTCAGGATTGTATCGGAGAAACTGCCACCATTGTGAATTTCAACTGCCGACATTGTGCCTTGAATGTAGCTGCGGATGGCTTCCAGGGTTCTTAACTTCTGGGAAGATGTGTTTTGTTGCGCGAGCGGGGAAGGTGGAGGCATAAACTGATTCAAGCTGACCCAAGACTTGGAGCCTCATGTCCCCTAAGGGTCCATGTACCCAAATAGATATACTTTGACCTTGAAGTAGGCCCTATTTGGGTACTTTGGGGCCAAAGTATATCTATTTGGGTACATGGACCCTTAGGGTAATCCATGAAGCTTACGCCTGCGAGCCTCCGTTGCCCATGTTCCAGTGCTCTTGTCCGCAGTTCAGTCAAGATGTCTCTGTGGTTTAGGGTTTAGGCTTTGGGGCTTTGGCTTGAAATACTGACTGTCCGGGGCATTTGTATACAAAAGCAACTCCTTCCTTTGTGTTGTGGGTGAGAGACGACAAACCCTGAGCCCCAAGGTCGTCCAAACCCTGGAACTTCAGCCTTACAGGCCCTAAACCCTGAGCACCAAGTCCTTCCTCAGGTCTACGTCGCCCGCAAGGCGGATGCCGCCTGGCAGGTGGAGCAGGCCGATTGCTGACGAGGGGGGGGGGTTTGGGGGGGGTTCCTGTTTTGCCCTAACCCCCCAAGGTACCTCTACTTCTGTAGGGTACTAGAGCCCCTAGGGCCCCAGATAGTAGGTACCTGGAGGGTTAGGGTTGGTTTGGTGTTTTGGGGTTCGGTTTGCAGATTTAGGCTTGTGGGTCTGACCGTGGGCTGCGGGGGTTAAGAAGCTCTCTCTGGCCCCACACTGCCCAAACCGTGAAATCCCTAAACCACAATACCTAGATGCGAAATGCTGCCGTAAGCACAAAGTTAAGGACCCGAACCGAAGCAATAGAGCAAGAGCGGGACTGCACCCCCTAAACCTCAAAGCTTCGAACAGGACTTTGCAGCCTCAAGGTCTCGCCAAAGTGGATTTAGACACCGAAAGGGTTTAGGGTTCAGGGTGGACCGAAAGGTTCCATAAAGCCGACACCGGAAACCCGTCGGGAGAAGGAGGTCGAAGGATGTTGAAGGCTCTTGTGTTTTGATGTGAGGAGACGCTGAAACCTTGGGTGAGCATCTTCATGAATCGTCTTGCTGCTGCTACAGTAGACATTAGCCGAGTCCGGAGAACTTCCAGGAAATCTATTTCGTAAGCTACGCGAAACACGGGTGTTGATTCTAGTGTGTTAGTCGTTGAGGGGGGCCCTAACCGGCGAACCGGCCTCACCGCCCTAACCCCTGCGTCCTAAACCCATCTGAAGCATAAGCCCACACCCAAAATCCACCAACCCCAAAACACCCTAAACCCTAAGCCCTAGACCGCTAAACCCGCTTAGACCTTTGGAACACCCGCAGTCTCGACTAAATGAAAGCAGTGTACAGCGAGCTGACCAGGCCAAGGCTAACGTTGAGAAGCACCAGGCCGGGTTTTCTGTGAGTTTTGTTGTTGGGGTTGAGGGTTTGGTGTTTACGGGTCTAGGGGCCTTAATAATTAGACTAGGGTTTCGGGGTATTCTATACTCTAAATTAATAAGGAATCCCCAAAATAGTATTGGCAATTGTGGCTTGGTCTGTTTTTTGGGG